TTTTGATAGCTGGGCACCATCAGCTTTCTTCGCCACATATGAGCTAGATGGCCACCTGTTTACCTTCAAGTCTTTAAGACCCCAGACGCTATATCTTTTGATAGCCGGGCACTATCAGGTTTCTTCACCACATTTGCTTATGCACCCATTTGTCTTCAACAATCGTATTGGGGAGGTGACAATATGGGCTTTCTATTGCTGGAAAGAGATTGTGTCAGAAACTCTTATGTCAAGAGAAAGATGTGGGGCTTTCTACTCCTAGAAAAGGTTATAGTCTTGGAAACCCATGGGGACAGTTCTACTCTGTCTTGTAGGGTCACTATGAGTCGGCATCAACTCGCTGGCAGTGAGTGAGTGAGTGTGTGTTCCAACCCTGGAGGAACACAAAGTAGACAATAGGCCTTTAGAGCCGCCGGCATGTATCTCTCAGGCTACAGAGCCAGTTCCCTCCATGACTAGGACACAGAGAGGCAAGGTACACAGCCAATATACAGCCAGGCAGGCACTAGAACTCAGGTGTCCTTCCTGAAAGTCCTGGCCAGTTCAGGGCCACCCAGCCACCCTGCTGCCACTGCAGTGAACATGCTTGCAGTCAGCAAAGGCCTGCCTTCTAACTATGGTTCTGTAGCATAGTTGTCTACTGGCTCTGGCTGGTGTGTCCGGGTACCCTACAGTGGCAGCATCTCTTGCTTCTCCTCTCTGACTAGTTCCTTATCCCAAAACCTTTGCAAAGTCCAAGCCAGGAGCACCAGCCGCATCAAGGAACGTTTTCCTCCAGAAAGAGCTTTTTCTCATGCCTGGTGCTTCTGCTCCCTTGCTGCCTATAGCCCACCCTCCCCTAGCAATGTGACAGCCTGGCCTCCTGCCCGGCCTCCCTGTTTCCAGCTTAGCCCCCTTCGACCAGCCTCCCCTGGTCTGCCTGAAGAATAGCATCACCTGGACCCCTCACAAAGGAGGGGTGCCCTAAAGCCACTTTGCCCAATGCCTGGGCATTAGCTAGGGAAGCCGACTGTGTGGATTCCTTTGTGCGGTTTTATTTTTATTTTAATCATTTTATTGTGGGCTCTTATAACATTGCATACATCAATTGTATCAAGTATGTTT